ATTAAACATTAAGCGGATTATGTAAAAGCAGAGTACTGTAGATGGAAAATGTAGTTAATGGAGCTTAGACCAGGAACCACAAACCCTCACAAAATTTTGAAGAGTAAAAAAACATATTGCTTTCACGTTGTTTTCTTTTTAAAATCTTCTTGTAAAAAGATTAAAGAGTTCAGTCATTATTATTTACATAAAATTCAACCTCTTTTGCTTAAAACCATGAATCATTTAGTGGCACATCTGCAGTGGCAGACACAGATAATCCAAGTCAGTTTGCAAATTGCAATTTCATTTGGACTAAGTCATCAGTAGCACATATTGTACATGTGTTAAGGCTCGTGACTGTTTAAGTCTCTTGGGTACATAAAATAAGCACAGATTAGCCAGGACTAACTGTATGTCCTCTTTTAGAAAAAAAAATCCTGGCATTTTGGGGATGCAGATTTAGATCAGTAGCTATGAAAACCAATGGAAATTTGCATTACAAAAGGTAAACTACTGCACAGTACCAAAGGCGCATTGCTTGTAAATTAATGGCTGCACACATAAGTTTGCTAATGATTACTACATGTGAGAGGTGATATGACCATTCAATGCCATGTCCCCAATGATCAGTGGTAGGCACCAATAATATCCTTCATGCTGACTGAACATTTATTCTGACTTTAGATATACAGTATATACAGATGTGTGTGTATGTACACTTAGGGTTTGATCCTGCCCAGTACAGGCGGAGAGTGCTGCAAGTATAGTACAGGGGCAGCAGGAAATCTGCTTCTGCATTTGTGAGAACACAAACTTTCCTGGCTGCCAAGTTACTTCTAGTTGCCAAAGGAAAGCTCAAAAGAGGAACAAATAACAAGCATCTGTTTTGCATGCAAAGGAATATATAGAAACGTTAAAAATTAGGTTCCCTCAGACATGCCCATTGTCTACTAAACCTTGCCTTCTTCAGATCTCTTAATATTTTCAGTAAAGATATGGGCATATAAGGAGCTATTTCAGTTGCGCTTGAGCCTATGTATACCTCCTTCCTGCTATGTGTATCTGCACTCCTTGCTGCTATAGAAGGACGTACAGGATCAAGGCCTAAGAGTGTCTGAATGTCTCATAGACTGGCTGTTGTGACTATCCTATAAAGCAGGGGTTCCCAAACTGTGGTACACATACCCCTGGGGATACACAAGACATCTCTGGGGGGGGCTGCAGGAGAAATTGTGTAATGGCAGATTTAATTTTCATTATAATAATAATCGGCATTTAAAGGGTTGAAGTATAAAACATGTTGGTAGGGGTATGCGGGCAGTTGGTAAATCTGGAAGGGTACGTAATAAGAAGTTTGGGAACCTCTGCCATAGAGCATTTCAGGGTATTCTGAGTGCAAAAGCTATCTGACTGCTGTGCTCAGCTTTGGCACACATTTTATGTGATAGTATTCCAATTGATTTCCCAGCCCACCCACATTTCTCAGCAGGTAGCCTGTCTATCCAATTTAGAAGTTTCTGGGGGAGGTTTTTGAACCAAAATTCTTCCTTCAGGTATAATCCTGCCTTTGAGCTGGAGTTGGAAAAATTACCTCTTTATTTAAATATGCGTTTGGACTGTTCAGAAGAGGAGAAAGGAACCTTAATGATCTATATGGCTTCCAAGCAAGGAATCAAAACAAACTTGGTGAGATGTTGCTCCCCAAAAAAGGACAGTCTCTAAACAAAATAGCAAAAGATGGGCAGCTGCAACTCTAACCCTGTCTGACCCTGGAACTCTAACATTAATGGGACTAGAATAATAATAGGACATTGATCCTAACATTCATAGGACTAGAATAGGACATACACATAAATGGATCAGGTCCTGAGGTCCCACAGCCTTTTCAGGATCAGCACCCAAAAGAATGAAATAAAGTGTCTTTTGTTGCCACACCCTACTCAGTGGTGGCCATTTAAAAAAACAGCTACCATGTAACATAAAACAGTTTATACAGAAGAAACAATAATCTCTGCAAAATGACCAGCTAGAAGAAGTGCTCTTGAACAGTGCTTCTCAAAGTGATGGTCCACAGAGCCACCGGTCGCCGGTCCGCAGCGAGTTGCCAGGAAAGAAAGAAATATATTTTCAGAAGCATAACATTGATATGTCGTAGCACCACAGTTTGTACGTTCCAACACGCCAGGGGACGTCACGTCGTGCGAGGTGAGGAAAGAGAAAGAAACAGCCGGTCGCGCATTTGTGTAGCGCTGTTCCACACAGTCCCTGGCCCACTGGAAAAAAAATTGCCGGTCCGCCACATCAGATAGTTTGAGAAGCACTGCTCTAGACCAGGGCTGGGCAGATCTGGCTGGTGCCTGGACTCCATTTCCCAGCGGTCCTTGCCCATGTTGCTGCAGCCAGTTTCCATGGAGACCCCAAGAGCATCAAGGCAATGACAGCAGGGGGCCAGGGTTTCCATGGAGACCAGCCCCAGCAGTGCTGACAGGGCACACGGCTGGGTGGGGAACTGCTTCTGGGATGGGGCTAGGACCTTGCGGTAGTGACAGGGTGGTCCAGTGCCAGGGCAGAGCCATGATCTGCTGCCTGTACATCCCACTGGGGCACAACCGCAATTCGCTGCGTGCGTGCAGATGTGCAGGGCTGTGTGGGCAGCAGATCGCAGTTCTGCCTCAGCTCCAGACCACACTGTCACCACCACAAGATCCTGGACCCAGAGCAGCTGCCTGACCAGCCTCCTGCCCGACCAGCACTGCAGGGGCTAGATTCCATGGAAACCCTGGCCCCGTGCTGTCACTGCTCTGCTGCTCCTGGGGTCTCCATGGAAACCAGCCTCTGCAATGTGGGCCAGGGCTGCTGGGAAATGAAGTCGGCTGCAGGCCTCATCCGGCCTGCAGGCCAGGCTTTGCCTGCCCCTGCCCTAGACAATCAGTTGGATTTCCTGGCTGGTTTAAACAGGTGCACCTCCACTGACTTTAGGGAAGCGTTACCTTTTCATACTACCAATGATTATGGTGTAAACATTAGTTCAGTGCACTGACTAGATCTTCTACAGAACTGATACCAGCAAGGTACCTAAAAACAATGCACCATTTCCATGGACTCTGATTATTTTAGCTGGAATAAATGGAGCAGCATATGAGAAAGGACAAAAATCTACAAGAGCTGCTTAGTAGTCAGGAAACATGTTAAACCAAAAGGACATTAATTCTTCCTTCTAAAACCTTATTGTACATATTAGATCCATACATATTCTAAAGGTTCATCATGATTTGAAAAAAACTGTCCCCAATTCTAATAAAATAAATGATGCACATTTCCATACATGAACCTAAAATGCCAAGTGCATGATGAAACTAAAATCTGTGTAAGGCAAGGCATATACATTGCTTCTATGTTTTACCAACATAAAACAGCAAACACAAGAGCTTATCAAAAGACAAATGTCAGAGCCACCATCAAAGAAAGCAGAAGTAAATCTAACAGGCATTTCACTTATCTGATTTGACGGACAATTCTCCCTGCTCTCCTAGCAGTGCCAAAATAGCTCACAGTATTAAGATAACTTAAACTGCTGCCTAGTTTAATAAATCCTGGCAGTCTTTACAACCAGAGATCAGGTAGTAATCAGATCAAGTAACATTTCCAAACTATTGGTATTTCCTTTGCAACATGCAACAACCAGACTAAAGACTGGCAGATATTGTGCTACCACAAATCTTGTTTAATGAGAAAAAGTACCAGATCATTTGATGTAATTGTTTCTAGCATAATTTATTAGAATAAGAAAAAAGGAGCAGTGGGCCTATATATTGGAAAGAGGCTGTTTTTCTTTTGTTAACCAGTAGCTATTGGCAGGGTTGCTTTTGGGAGGGGGATGGACCTGCTTAACACTAATATCAGTATAAAATAAAGCAGAAGGTGACAACAAAAAGGCCCATTTGGTGGCTCTTAAATAAACATTCCAACTAAGTCAATGCAGCCACACGCAGCAGTAGGGGCTGCACAACTGGTCGCAAAATAGCCAATAAAATTTAATTTTGGAGAAAAACAAAGAAAACTAGCATGTGGGAGCAGATGAATGAAAATGAAATTAAGCAAAAAACCCTCCAAAACACTAAACTGAAAACACAATAGATATTAATTGGCCCTGACCTCAACTGACCCAAATTAAATTGCAGTTATTGCAGGATTAATTCCCTTAGCATGAAACATATAGCTTGTCAACAGAAGCTGAAAACACCCCATAAATCAAGAAACATTAAAGCCTAGATGAGGATTATGTATAAAGAGTGAGGGGATTATGATAGGAATCCATTCTTAGTCTAGTGAGTAGCAAAGTCTGGTTTCTAGATAAAAGAGAATTGCCTGTGATGGCTTGATACAGCCGAGAAGAAACTGTGCAAGCAGGCTACTTTAGGATGAAAATGATATGAAAACAGGAGGCAGTAAAGTGATGCCTTCCTATACAAAGCATACAAATATTACTGGTATATGTGCATGTGTAATAAAAACATGTTCTCTCTAAATAAGTTGCAGTTTGTCATATTTTTGTTTTAACTATTTGCTTTCAATACCAGTACACAGCTTTCCAGAATCGCTTCTAGTTCCTTGCTGTCAACATATATATTTTTCATGTATGTTGGCTGTTTGCTTGATGATGTTCATAAAGAGGCTCAGCAAGAGACAATATACTTAAAAAATAGGGAAATAGAGAAATGCATGCACAAAAAGCTATGCTTCCCTCTCCATATTGTTAATAGTTTATGCAGTTTATCCATCCAGCCCAATTGGGTAATAACAAGCGAATGTGCATCCCAACTGCCAGTCAACCTCCTCTTGGCCCTGATTCAAGAAAGCACTCCAGTTCAGGATCCCACTTATATATCTGCTTAAGTTTTATTGAAGTCAATTGGATTTATGCACGTGCTTCAAGTTAAGCACATACTAAAGTGCCTTCTTGAATAGAGGCCATTGCGCTTATTGTACTTGTTCCAATTAGCCCATAAGATTTTGGTTTCCAAACACAAGAATAGAAACAGTGTGTTTATGCACTAAATGCAAGTGTGATCAGATTTGTCTCTAGTATGAAGATGCTTGATGACTATTATGGAACAATGCAGGGACACAGCTGTATATAATATATACACACACATACATGTCTACACTCTGAAAAATATTGTTCAATGTTGAAGAAATAGTCACCTTTGTTTGGATCAATGCTGTGGTAGATTATTTCTGTAGCACAGTGTCCAGAATAACTGAATTGTCCATGGGAGAGTACACAGTCCCTTTGAATGGCACACAGTCATTATGACAAGTGAGCACTATTCCGCACCCAGTGAAGTCCTTGTTGAGTATACTGAACTAAATGCTCCATACTGCTGTGCAAGGTGACAGGTCCCATCAATGCATCCAAGTCATTAAAAAAATCTATGGAAAAATATTAAACACAGGGATCAGGAAGTTGCATTTGCTTTTTATCACCATGTGATAGATATTTTCTTTCAGTACTTACAACGCATGGAACAGTTTATGAAAATGAAAATCTAGTCCTATGATCCTGTTGTCCATGACTGTGAGTTCTCCACAGCCATTTTCATTTTAAAAACAGAACAGCTAATTCTTTGTTTCTGCCTTCCACTAAAGTCAATTTATCCTATGTGCAAAGGGATTATTTGCTATGTGTTTCCGCATAAACAGACATTATTTCTAGCTGAAAATGATCCTATCTGAAAAATGAAGAAGAGTTAAGTGAAGCAGGGCAGGCCAAGTCCTCAAGTGTTTACTCAGGCAAGTTCTTATTCAACTCATGGGACTGAGAGCTTCTTGTTCCCCTTTAATTCTGGAAGGGGGTTCCTCCATTTGGCATATTCCACCTAACCCTCATCCCATACAAGCTCCTTTAAACCTCCCTCAGGCAGCTCCATGAAGCTGGAGGAAGTGAGGAATGGAAACTTCCTTGAGTCCAATATATTCTCCTTAAAACTCATGGAACACATGAGTGCATGTACATCTCATCCTGCAGCTGTATTGTTAATTTATGCAATTGTCTCTGCCATGCTGAGGGTGGATTCTGCATGAACTAGCATTGGAAAATCTCCTGGAATCAGGCTCTTGCTATGGCTATGATGAGCAGAGGCTAGCTGGGGTGGGGAAGGGCAAGTGACAGCAAGCAGCATTCCTATTGTTTGCTTAAGCCAAAGGGGGTGCATCTACACACATGCTTTACCGCAGGGTTGACTAATTAGCTCCACAGTAAAGCATGACAGTCTACATGTGTGCCAGTATTAAGGTGCAGTAAATTAATTAACTCTGCAATAAGACAGTACTGCAATTCAGTGTGATGAAAAGTGTAAATGGGTACAACGGTGCTAAAATGTGGGGGCTGCCCATCACCTGGCCCCACCGCTTTGCAGGTTCTGAGCCCTCGTGCCCCAGCCAGCTCCTCTGCTGCTTGATGCCATCACTTGGAGCCTGGGGCTTCTCCACCCTGGCTCAAACTGCTGCTGTTCTGGGCACATGTGTAGATGCTGTGCCCAGGAGCAGTTGACTGGCTCAAACAGCTCTGGAGTTTATTGCATCACATTAATTGAACATGTAGATTCATCCAGAGAGGAAGTGAAGCTGCTTTTTTCCCCAACCAACTTTAAACCCATTTGAAGCCTATATATTTGTCCTGTATGTTTGCCCTGTTGCCACATAAATACACTGAGGGCCAAATCCTATTTCATTTTATGCACCTAAATGGCAGTCATCCAGTCATGTAAGCGATGTACTAGGCACTTATGTGCAGCTTGAGATTCTATTCCATGTACAGTGTGGATATAAGCATCCACACTCCCACAGAGCATGCTGGACAGGTTTGTGGACTGCTGTATGCTTACACTGGTAAGCACGTAAGTCTTGAAACAGTAGCTGGGCAAAACCCCATGAGAAGAAGGTATTAGACGGAGGACGGCCTCTCATATTTTAGCTCAATAACCTAGTGATTTGGGCACACACAGGAAGTAGGAGACCCAGGTTCTAGGTTGCCTCCTCACCCAGAGGAGCTTTGAATCCACATTTTATGCTTTCTATCATTATGAAAAAAACACCAGTTGGCATCATCTAGTCCTCCCCTTGAAAATAGCCCCTGGGCAGCCAAGAGAGGAAAATACATGAAGCCAAGGTGAAATAGCGAAAAGGGTAGCTGCTGTTATGGGACAGGGCCTTGGATCCTAGCCCTTGCTCTCAACAGGGCAGAAACTTCCCTTTTTTATCTATGCATTTTATTCAATAAATATTAAGTACAGTGGAGTGAGTTCAAGAGGAGGGTTACAGAGGTGCTTGGATAATGCCTTACATGGGGCCTGGTGGTTTGCATACTGTGTGTAAAGTCAGAGATACAAGTTCAGGTGTCCTCTAGAAGAAGGAGGCCTAGAACCTGGCTCTTCTATTGTGTGTGTGAGTACCTTAAACATGGGGCATGGGAGGCCACCCTCCTCCTTCCCCATTTGTTTCTGGCAAATATGTGGGTAGCTGTGCAGCATGATTCCCAGGCTGTGTGAGAGTGCCAAAAATGACACTTACTCAGCTGGGTAGCTGCCATTTTGGGATGTAAAGTGAAATAGGATTTAGCCCCAGCTCTAACTCTCCATGTAAAATATAAAGAATACAATAGGACTAAAACCACAGGTATTTACTCAAGGTCAAGGTGCCCTGTAGGTGATATCCCACATGTCCACAGATAAGTTCTGTGGTCAAGACATGCACAAATATAAGGTTATGTAGGAGTTAGCCTAAAAAGGGAATGCTAGCAAAGTAGTCCAGGGGTGCTCAACCTCTGGCCCACAGACCAGATTTGGCCTGCAAAGCTATGTCATCCAGCCTGCAGGACTCCCCATGGGTCCAGAAATGTGATGGCAGGGAAGCAGTGGTGGTACGAATTGCCACTCACTTGTTGCCAAATTTCCAAACCCACTGGGAGCCCCACAGGCCAGATGACAGAGACCCTGAGCACTAGATCACTGGTCTGGGGCAAGGCTGGTGTATGGGGGCACTCTGAGACAAGATCTGGTATATGAGATTGGGTTGTTGTGCAGGGTCACAACCATGGACTGACCCGTGCATGGGATCCAGCCTGTGGACCGTCCCCATGCCAATTATCCAGTCCATGGGTCAGAAGGTTAAGCATCACTGATGCAGTCTATAAGTTTTCTCTTGTAACAGCAGAATGTGAGACCAAAGAGAACCATTCCTATAGTTCTGCAATGAGACACCACAATCCTCTTTAGGAAGAAGAGAATTTGCTCAGAATATCATCAGTTTAATTCCTGTTAGTCTGACTGCCATATGTCTAGAGCGTCTCTGGAACACCGAGAGACTCGAGCAGCCAAAGAGACAAAATAGTGAGAGGGTGCTGCTTCAGAGTGGGAAGGCAGATAAACAGCTTTTTGCTACATTTTGAGGCAGACCATGAATAAGGTGAAAAAAAAATACAACTCTACAGTCTTTCTATCTGGAAAGAATCACTGTCAAAATAGGTCAACAATTTGTCTTACTAAAGCCAGATTCTGCTTGTACTCTGCTCAGGTAGATGTACGTTAAACATAGGTTGGTATGTTGGATTAGGTACCTCTGTTTTCCTTGGCCAGATTGTCAGCCATCTCCCAGTAGTCATAACTGTGCAAGATGCTGTTGGTGATGCTGACATGATTGGCAGCCATCTGATGAATACGCTGGGGAATGCTGATGATGGAGGAAGGGGAAGGGGTACCGGTGCTCCCCTGGGATCCTACAGAGCTGACTGGAGAAGGACTTGGGGACATGGGGGATGGAGTTCCTGTGCTCCTGCAACAAAGTATTAAAATGCATACCTGCACGTGAGGATGACACAGATAAACACATACAAACTATTACAATGTGCTACAAAGGAGCAAATGCCATTTCTCACTGTTATTTAGATATAGTTTCTGGGTGAAAATTGAACTTACTTTCCACTGGCACCCCAGGGGGATGGGGCCTGTGCAGCTTTTGATGAATTCTGTGGAGGAAAAAAAATGACAAAGAGTATAATTTAAATAAAACTGTGAAAGGAACAACAACAAATAGCATAGAAAGTTGGGCAGAAAAGGCTGAGGTGATGTGTGTGGACAGTGTATTCGGGTCTTTTGATTCTATAAAGCCATTTGGACTAATTCAGAAGTGGTGCAGGCAGTGATAAGATAAACCTCCTTAAGTTCTGCTGGAGTTCTTTAAAGTAGAGCTGATACTTCTGAAAGAAGGTGACTTGTGACCACGCAAACTACACCTGGCCAATTGTGCATTGAAGAAATAATTCCTTCCTTCCTGACTTCTGCAGGCAGCAAGTTGAAGTACTGAGAGATAAGACTGGACCATAATCATTGTCTTATTGCAGAGTGAAAGTTTTTAAAGCATGTTGAGAACTAGGCAGCTTCCTGTTCTCCTCAGGGCCCAAGAAAGATGTGGAGATAATCTGGAGACTTCAGAGATTCAGAGGTCTGTAGGGGCCACTGTGAACATCTAGCCAACCTCTCTTTTTCTAGTAGTGGTCCTAAGAATACTGTGAAAGATAATTTCTCTACTTCTACTAAGTTTCCCATGCCTATACTTATGAGCAACAGGCTCTTCCAAGATGGATCTTTCTCTGTTTTTATTTTCCACCCCAAATTTTAGAAGGTTTAGTTTTAATTCTGTTAGGGAACTAAAGAAAACAGTGAAACCCTTAAAATCTACAATACTTGTATTCTGGCCAGCTCCTGTTTCAGACCTACTTACATCTATCTTTTTGAAGTGTAAAGGGGGATATGTAACTTATTGATCTAGGAGCTGGAAAGAAGTGGAAAAGGTGAAAGTTAAAGTACAGTGATTGGTTCTTACAAATGAAATTTAAATACTCTCTTTCATACTTGAATTATACACCTTTTTCAAGTTCCTTGAAACAAAAGTCATAGCAGCATAGTTTCAGGCATCAGAAAGTTAGGGGTAAGTAGCCCATTGCTATTGATTCATCTGTAGGCTTTGTTCTACTTTCCTGAACTGAATTGAATTGAATTGAATTTCTTATGGTATCAAAAATCTCTAACCATCTTGAATATCTGTAACATTTTAAAATTCTTCAGTGTATTAATTTTTTTGAAGAGCAAAACCAAATGTTAAACAAGAACTTGAAATAATCTTATTTCTTTTTAAAAAGAAAAATGCATCTATCCCTGAAAATGTCTTTGACAAGTTTTAAACCCTTTCCACAATTGAAAGTACAAATGGAAGTTCTTTAATGTAGTCAGTATTTTATATTACTTGGTTTTGAAAGACTTTACATACAAATATATGCAATGAACATAGAACTGGCTATTTTCCACTGCAGAAGATGGAAAATGGATTTTTTTAAACTTTAACTTCAAAAGCAAGAATACTTTCTAATGTGAATCTACAGTATCATTATATCAGCAGGAGCCCTGCAAAATAAAAAAGCTTTTCTTGTATGAAGTTAATGTGACTACAGCAAAATGTAAGCACCATTCTTCCACTGTGTAGAATTTTTTTTTTTTATACTACTGAGACACATTTTGGCTGAGAGATGGAACTTTCAATTTTTGTGCAGGCGTTCTTTGAACTGGTAGGGAAAAGTATTACAATATTTACCTATTTTTCACAGCTAAAATAAAGAAATCAGGTAGAGAAGCAAAACAAGTTTAGTTGTGTGTACATAATTCAGTTTTTAGATACAAGTATGGTGATAATATAGGATGTGTTAGCTTTTTTGTCTATTTTATGATTCAGTCATGAAAACTTATCCTCATATTTGGAACTTTTCATCAACAAGATATCTGAATTTGGGAAGAAAGCCTCTTAAATAAAGATAAAAAGAACATGACCATATGACTACTCAGAATTTCCAAAGAGAATATATGCTCAGAGTTCTTTGATTTTGAAATCAAACTGAATGCTGGAAACAATTCAACTATATTTATTTTTCGTTCATGTATTATTATTTTTTTTTAAAGAAAAACAGGTCATCTTTATGTTTGTAGGTCCAAAATTTGACTGACTTTGGTATAGGTCCCATCTGTAAATTTCTGTTTTCCAGATATTTTCTAATCAAATATTTCCAGTTCAGGGCCAACAAATTTAAAATATTGAATGACGTTCTGTTCAAAATAAGCAGCAAGTGCACTGCCTTCTGAGAGCACAGAGAATGAAGAGGAGCTAGAGGGGAAAACAAAACAGGAAGCAGAGCCAGAAAGTGTTGTAAGGTGGACAGTGGGTGTGTCGACACGAGACACTACGTCACTACAGCGATGAGCTATAGCGACGTAGGATCAGTGGGCACGAACCATGATGCTCAGTAGCTCATTGCTACTGCACAGTAGGGTCAGAAACAACTAGTGCCACTGGGACTGCTCAGTAACGGTGGTTACTGTGCAGTCACTTAGTACTTTAGTACTAAAGTAAGCACTAAATGACTGCGCAGTAACAATTGTGCAGCTAGGTGCACGTGTAGACATACCCAGAGGGTCCTCACAGGCTCACACGCAAGTCTCAGAGCTGGCTGCTAACACCTTTGTGGTGGGTGTGTTCTGAGATTTTCTACCTGCTCAGGTCCTCAATGGGAAACCCTACAGCTTGTCCCATAGACTGCTTTAGACTGAAATCCTCAAGCCATGTGAAATCAAGAGCAAGGTACAATCTTCAAATAGATTCTTACTGTGAATGCCATAAAATCTATTCTGAGCAGAGCTAACAGCACTGTAAAAAAACATTGGGAGATCAACAAAAAAAAGGAGAATGGGCTGGGTGTATCCGTTTCATGGCACAGCAAGTTGGTCTTCCCTCATTACGTTGTAAGGTGTGTATACTAGAAACCTGTGCCATTGTGAATATAGCATGTAAATGACCTGCTTCCACTTAAGCTCTGAAGTGACTAGGTTACACTTTAGAAAAGATGCAGTATTTCATTTTAGCTATCTTAAAACATGTCATAAAACAAGAAAATACCTTGAAATATTCAATAAGTGCTTTTGAATACTTTACAGCATGGTCTCTTTTGAGTCGGAACATTCTCCAGTACAGAAGGGCCAAGCAACGGAAACTAGAGTAGAAAGAGAAAACTCAATGTAAAAGGCATCTGGAATAATTGAACTGAAAATCAATGGAAAGGTGAACTGTGATTCTGGTGCTGATTATTATGATCATGCTTGATTTTACACATATTTGTCCACATCTTTCTAAGGGTTAGTAAGGTCCCTATGAGGTAGATCCTGAAAACTCTACAGATTATGTTAGTCTACACATTGCAAAACTTGTAGTAAATTCATTGCACAGAACTGTCTGCAGGATCAAATATTAAGCTTCACTCCTGCAATGAGTTCTGTGCAGTTGACTGAGGGGGTCTGCCAATGAGATTCCCACTGCAGGCTGAGACCAAAGGGTTTCAGTTTTTTGGCATAAGCGTAAAGGTGGCCTTTGTGGTTCTGTATCCTGGAGCTATAAGGCTATAAGGTCAGTCCACGGAGGAAATTAGAGTAACATTGGGTCTGTTTCATGTCAGATGTCCATGCTCCTGCTGGACTCTTTCAGCAGTTGGAGACTGTTAGGGAACAGTGGTGTCCTACATCTGCCCACATTTCCCTGTGTGCCTTCACTGGGAGCAACATGGGTGGTGCAGAAGTCTCTCAAGAGACTCCAGACTCCCTGATGATTCCCTTCTGCACAGGAGGTATCTTCAGGTGATAGAATAAGTAGCCTGAACAGAGGGGAGGATCTAACTTACTGTCTCTAATTTTTCTGTGATATGCCATGCACTTTTATAATGCTGTACACATGAAAAACTGTAACACTAATTGACATTACTTAAACATAACAACAACACAATACCTGATCACAAGCACTCCAAGACTACCAACATCTTTTGTTTTCTATTTTGGATTTCTATGTAGTCCACCTATGTTTATTTTTCCTTTAGAGGATATTTGGTTCAAAACTAAGAATTAGTCTTTGCTAGGATATTTTTGAACTGAAGTACAAGATCACTCAACTGTGGTTGTATCTACACAAGATGCTGGCTGTGCAGTTGTTACTGCGCAGTCATTTAGTACTTGCATACCCAAGTACTAAATGAGTGGGAAGTAACTGGAGGCGGTGTCCCCACGCAGCTTCGTGGTGACGTCGACTGTGCAGTAGTTTGTTACTCCTGCGCAGGACCGCCATGTCATGGTTCGTGCCCCATGACGCTGCTGCCCAGTAGTAACGAACTACTGCTCAGGAGTAACGAGCTACTATGTAGTAACTGTCTTGGGTAGACGTGGCCTGTATGTAACAAATAAAAAACCTACAGAACTTTATCCACTTGGTCACAGAAGCTAAGATGTTCAAGGATTACTAATGATTCTGGGTGCCCAGGGAGACAAGTAGAAAGGGGCTTGAATTTTGCAAGTGCTGAGTTCTCACCCTCTGAAAATTTCACTCTTTTTAAATGTCTTGCGGAGCCAATTTGGGCAACCAAAAAAATCAAATCAAGGCCTTCAAAATTACCAAGTACTTTAAAAACTCAAGCAGAGTTATTATAACTCACTTTCACTCTGTGTTCCTTCTGAAATCAGCAACCTTCATAAGCTGAAATTTACCTCTTTTACAGCTAGAGGGAAGTC